CGTCGTACTCGACGGGATCCACGCTTGCTTGGGTTGTCTACTGGATGCAAAACAATCTTATCTACGGCTGCTAAATCTAAACGGAAGGGAATTGACTCGATAGAGCGTCGCACTCTATGCCTACGTATTCTCAAGAGAGAAAGTCAGAGTCAACGTAGTTCGGGACTACAGGGAAAATTGGCTCGCCAAGATCTCGCGTCTTGTGCCTACGTACTTCCACTGGATGGAAGATCAGAGCTTTACGTAGTTCAGACTAACTACTGCTAAACAAAACATTCTCACACAGCAGTGAGAAAAACAACTGGCTTCACAGGGTCGGGAACCTATGGTCATAACTATGGCTGAGTCTCAAATGCACTTGGGCAGGAGAGAAAAAGGGTATCAATTAATCGTCAGCGGGAAAGTCTCGATCGCACAGCCGCGAGAGAACAAAAGTTAGTCGTTAGTGTGCTCGCTAGGATATCGCATCCTATGCCTACATATCTTCGTCTGGTACGAAGAATCAGAGCAGCTGTAGTTCGGCTACTATCGGATCACAGCTCAAATCTCGTTTTATTAATCTTCTGAAAAAATGATTACAATGAGTTGAATGTTGAAATAAATCTCCTAGGAAACGCTATCCTATTCTATCTTGAAAAGTCGAATGAAAATAGCCCCCTGACAAATGGGCTTCTAAGCTATCCTGAAAGTCGGAAAATAATCTCTATGAAAAACCTAGAAAGAAAATGCTTTAAAAAATATTAAACTACTTTAATATTTTTTCTCTTTTTTCTCCTTTTCTTTTCTCCTATTTTTCTTTTCTCAAAAATATTTTCTTTCATTTTTCACAATATTTTTCTCTATATTTTTGCACAATATTTTCTTCATATTTTTTCAATATTTTCTTTCCATATTTCTTTTTCTTTTCTTTTTCAAATATAAACTCTTTTTCTTTTCTTCAAATTCTTTTTCAATCTTTTTTCTATTTTTTTTTCAAATATATTTCTTCTTTTCTATTTTTCTTCTCATTTCTTTTTTTATTTTTTCCATTATTCTTTAAAAGAATGAAAATAACAAAATACAAGAAAGAGGGCTGGGGGGTACACTGTTAATAGAGGGATAACAGAAAATAAAAAATAAAAAAAAACAACTAAACTGGGCCCAGCCCAATTCCTTCAGAAAAAAACGCTGGGGGGTGCATTGAGTAATCTGGGTGTTGGCAAGAAAAATGGGGCCCAGACCCAGTACTGCCAAAAACGTGAAGGAGTGCGTGCCAAAAAAAAATTGGTTGGGCCTGAGGCCCAACGAACCAGCCTTCTCCTTCCTCTCCCCATCTCTATTCTGCAGAAACCCTAACTCCTATCTTCAGCGCCGCCGCCGCCATTGACGTCCACTCTCCACCTTCTCCATTCTCACCTCCGTCTCCTTCATCCAGACAACCTTCTTATCATCAAATCTTGAACCCGAAAAACAATATGAATATTATGCTCAACAACGAACACTCAATCAACCCAACTTTACTCACAGCTTGAAGATCTCAGAAGAAACTCTAAAAAAGGGGCGATGGTCTATGTTCTTGATAAAAACCTGATGATGTTGGAGGATTGAAATAGTGATGAAGTTGAAGGCATCGAAGGAGATTATTGGAGATCCACGAACTTTGAGGGAGTCTGGATTCGCAAATGTGACGGAGATCGCGAAGAACTTCTGGAAACAGGATACGCATGAGTCTCTTGAAGATCGCTGACAAACCTGAAGATCTGGAGAGTATGGAAGTGTTAACGATTTGTTCGTTGTTGATCCATTTCTGGAGATTGATGATTGTGGATCCAGAACAAGATCTTGAAAGGTGATGACGAATCTGGTGTTGTATGTTCTTGTTGAGGCTTTTCTGGAAACAGCGCTTGGATGCAGATGATGATGATGTTCATCGCTCTGATGAAGTTCTGGAGTTCTTGATGCGTGGAGATGAGGATGAGGTTCATCGTTCTGATGGAGTTCTGGAGTTCTTGATGCGTGGTTGGATGATGATTCTGGAGAATCGATGGTGGTTGGATGATGATTCTGGTGGTTGATGGTTGGGAACGGTGAAGATCAAGGATGAATGTGGAGGTGATGTTGGGAAGAAGATGAAGGTTAATGAAAGGGAGGTGGTAGGTTGAAGAGGAAGGTCGCCGGATTCTGGAGTTTGTGGTGGCCGGAGAAGGAGGTTTAGGTTGGAGGAGATGAAGATGAAAAGTGATCTGGGGATTTAGGTGTTCGCCGGTGAGTTTGTGGTGGCCGCCGGCCATGCAGGCCGGCCGGCGGGGCTCTCAGGTGTGGCTAGCTGATGATGACGCGTGGATGAACGGTGGAGGGAGTGTGTGCATGCCTGCCACGTGTGGGCTAGCGTGGCTGAGAGAGAGAGAGGGTTGGGATACGTGGCGGTGTGGTGATGCAGAGATGTGGGGCCTCCCTGTAAGCAACACGTGTCGCGCTGAGTATTTAAAGCTGAAGCTGCGCTGGCACATTCTGGAAAGATCTGGAAGGGACTGGAAAAATCTGGGAGAAGCTGGACGCTTTGGACTCTTTTTCTGGACTTTTCTGAATATTCTGGACAAAAACACTGGTTGGGCCTGCGAAAATGGGGACAAAGCCCAACGAAAATGGATACAAAACTCAGAAAAAAAACTGAAAACAATATAAAAAAAACTAATTAACACTTAATCCTATTTAACTAAACTACTAATACCCTAACAAACCCACTAATCTAAAATTGATTAAATGTCTATTAAAATCTATAACAGAAAATAAAAAGAAAAATCTATATATTTCTTAATTTCTATTTAAAAAACTATATCAAAAAAGATCAAAACTATTAAGACTATTAAAAATCTATTAAATTCTATTAATATTCTAAAACTAATATTACTATATTATCTAAAAATATAAAAATCTATTTAAAAATCCTATTAAATCCTAAAATGAATTTAAAAATCTATTATATTCTATAAAATGCTAAAAATTGATTTAAAAAGAATTAAAAATATCAAAAATTCTATTAAATCCTAAAAATTGATTTAAAAGCTATTTAAACCCTAAAAAATCCTATAAAATCCAGAAAAAACACCATAATTCTCAGAGGGACAAAATGAGCACCGAACGACACAAAAATAATCGGTAAAAATAAACGGGCACCGCAATAACCCAAAAATACGATTCTACTGATCAAAAACACCTGAAACACGAGACGGGAGCTGTGATCCCTGATAAAATCAATACAAATGAACAATGCAATGTATGCGATATGCAGATGCGAATGCGGTTATGCGTCGAAACATCGAGCCAAATGCGAGACCCGGTTGGTCAAATTTTGGGGTGCAACACTTCCAACCCAAGAAATAAAATCCTTTGTTCAATTGAATTAATACAAAGTGTCTTAAATGAACAACCATATAATCAATGTCCCTTTTTTTAATTCTACCAGTGTATTTCTATTTAAGACTCCCCATAAATATGAGAACCCCTCTCACTTTCTATCAATCACTAATCCCAAGTGATCGCTACAATAATTAGAATAATAAATTTTAAACTACAACTCAACTAACAAATCAAACACTATGCCTTTAAATATGAATGGAGACGCTAGAGTGGTTCAAAAAACAACAACACAAACAAAGACTCCAAGTATAAATTCTAACACATGAATCTTCAATACTTGCATTCTTTAAACGTTAAGTTTGAGTCTCCTTAAATAACAATACAATCTTCTAAACTTTTCTTGCAATAAGTAAAAGATTTTATGAGATGTTGGATCGAACTCTAGTATGGTCAAATGTTAGCTTCTGGTTCGACAAGAATTATGCATGAGGTCGAAGTATGTTCGCATTCTGCTGTCGGAGTAATGCGTGTTGTAGTCGAAGTTTGTTCTAACATGCATTAGTCAATATTATTGCTAGGGTTGTTAGCATGTTAAATTGGACCTTGCTTGTAAGTTCAATTGTTTAAGTTAGCTTGTATCCTAAGTTAGCTTGTAATGGGTAATTATTAAAAAGCTCATTAGATTAGTGTGTTATTTTTCTTATAAATAGTATGCTAGTTTCTCAATCTTGACATAAAAAAAAGGAAGATAAAATCCTAATTTCAAGAGAGAGATGTTATTTTGTTATTCTTGTATACTTGTAATCTTGTTTTTAAGAGAAAGGAAATAAGATCAATTTAATAACCAATACTTGTTGTTCCTTGTTGTTTTACCTTATTTTCTTTGTTAACCCTAACCCTTGTGTGTTTCTTGATCATAAAGAAAACATTTATACTTTGTTTCAAGGTATCCGATTCACAACATATTTGATCACATCCAGATTCACAACAGACTTGTAATCTTGATTTGATTTGATCCTTTTAATTAGACAAATAAATCTAACAAATACATTGTTAAAAGATAGTTACAAATTTGATTAAGATCTAATCAAAAAGCACGCTCAAAGCACTTACAACATTAGCCGACTGACAAGAGACAAATGTTACACACATGCTAGAATATTAAATCTTACATGATTCATTTCATCACCAAAATATTTTATACACTCTTTATGGTTATTTTGCATAATACAGATAATCTAAAAGAAACAATAAAATCAAAGTCCGTGCTGCTAGCCGCCCTAAATGATACATTCTCTAGGCACATACTTGACAATAGGATCTCCAATTCCCTTGAAAAACCGCCAAAGCTCATGGATAGTATAATATGATTACTCACTAAATTTTAACGGTTTGGCTTAGTACCGTGAGTTTTCATGACCGTCAATAAGAATTACAGTGGAGGCTTTTACCAAGGGCTCCATGGTCATCTGTAAATTAATTTACCAACAGCTTTTTTAATTATAAAAGGATAAAAGCACCATACTCTTTAGTCCTTCAAAAGACAATAGCTAAAAACACACATTACAACACTCAATGAGCTTATTTAGAAGATATAACAAACTATAGCATGAAAGTACAAGTAATAATAAAGAGATGCATATACTGGATGAGAATTAATCTCAATAATATTCAGTGAGGAGGTTCTGCATCTTTTTCTCAAACAGGAAAGGTGTGTCATCATTTGATTTGGGGACAGCAGAGTCATTACCGTTCCAAATCGAAACCCCGGAGAGTAACGATCTATTAATCAGATCAGTGCAACCCTCAATGAAAACCTCCTGTGATATTTTACCAGAGTCATATGGATCGGTACTGAATCCTGCAAGGAGTTTAGAAGCATCATAGTCCTTTGTTAGTTGAAGATACAGGTTGACAAACTCGTCCTTATCCAACACAGTTTGATTATAGAACTGATAATCAACCAAATCAATGTAATCTTCAAATCTTTGGTATAAAGTCTTGTAGCTAGAATAGTTGCGGTTCGATGGGGCAATAGACATCACATTGAACAGAAAAACCTTTCTGAGTGTTGTAATAACTTTCCCAATGCAACAGGCAAACTCGATATCAGTAGTGGCAAAGATATACTCATAGTTAATATCAATACCATCAATTAAGTAGTGGCAGCCGCAACCTTCTATGTATTCGTCGAGTATTTTCGTGATTGATTTTATAGCGTTGTCCGACCATTTGTCTTTGTCAGAAGGATTGAATGACTTATCTTGGCCACGACCGCCTATGCTTATTACCACGTTTATGTTTTTATATGTTTCTTTGAGTGTATTTATGTTTTCTGGACTGAAAAAATCGTTGTTCCAAGTCCGCTTGAAAATTCCGGTGCCTCTTCCGTTGTTATCGTAGTCCTCGGTGGCAAAGGCGAGAATGAAGTAAAATTCTGGGATTCTGGAGTTGATGATTTCAACTGGAAAGGCTGTTAGATTATCAGGGTATGATTTCACACCGATGTATTCACGAAAGAACATTGGTTTCACTGTGATATCTGTTTGAGACATAGTGACAGTTTCAATTTGAATGAGGTATGAAGTGCTTTTTTGGTTTAATTGGAAAGGGTAGGGAGTTTAGGTTGAATTAATGGCCACCATTTGAACACCTTTAATATTGTTACGGATCACAACTTGCATTTCAGACGCACAAGTTGTTACTAATCAATCATAAGTTTCAATCGAATGAGGTATGCGGATGTTTATATTATTACTCCCCTCCCTTTTATATTATAAACCAATTTTAATTTTTAAATTTATTAAATAATTAATATATTTGACGCATATATTAATTATTCAATAAATTTAAATATTAAAATTTGTTTATAATATTGAATGGATTGAGTCATTTAGTATTCTAGTTTACTAAGTATGCATGACATATTATGTTTATATAATAGCGAAATTAATTATAATATGCTTAGTCAACAAAATTTAATAGTTTTCAAAGTGTCATGTGAATATGATTTTTTTTATTTGCACAAAATCGGCAATTAGTCATCCACTCCTCCCACACAATAAGATTAAAGAGGAGACCATAGGCAAACATTACAAACAGACAATGAGAAAATCCAGAAGCTCTTCCATTTAAAATTTCCAATATTTCTTATGAATTTCCCACTCCCTATCCTCCTCTCTAATTGGTTTAACCAGATCAACTAATAAGACAACCGAAAAATTTGGCCTTTGTAATTACAATTCAACAATGTATTACCTCGTGGAAGCATGTCTTTTAACAATTCAAGCAATTCAGTGAAATTTTTATTCGTCTGTCCATTTTTTGCCATCAAATTAAATAATCTTAACACTGTTGACAATCATGTAAAATTTGTGCACCTTAGATATAATAGCTCTTCCTTGTCACTACATAAAGTACTATACACATGTATTCTCTCTCCAAAATAATCTTCTCCAATATTACTGTTAATAATATTTGTATATAGAAAGTCTCACATCAACTATAGCATGAAATTAGATTTAAATCTCTCTATATATAATACAATATTTGTAGTGCTTTTAAACACCCATCTTATTCAAATGTGTCTCACTCTCTTATACTTCAATATGGTATCTAGAGCCTGTTTAGAGACAATCTTTCGTCGTGCTTTACGTAGTGAATCTTTTTGGAATTGATTTTCCGATCACCATCACACTACCGTCACCGAAACTGTTTTTGGCGACCTTTTGACAAAATACCACCAACAGAGGAAGTGAATCTGAAGATCCGGCCAATCCCCATAAATATCGCCGTCAACCGCCTCTCCACGTGACCACACACATTACGATCACTTTCGCACGTGAACCTTACCCGTCGCCTATCCTACAGTGCGTGACAATGCGTCCTGACTTCATTCTCACTGTCGTTCTTGCTGTCGTGCTCATTTTCTGTCCGATTCAAGATCTTCACTCATATTTAATTTACCATCTACAAAAGCATGTGTTCCATCATGTTTTTGCCATGTTTTTCCGTTTATCACGAACGTCACTATGCTTCTGTCATACCATAATTTTTTACCCCTAAGACCCCACATCATTTGAATTTCATTAGCATCATACATGTGTATACTTTTATGCATCACTAACCTATTTTAATATACAAAGATTGTTGTTTGTTTCATTTGATTACCAATTAGGATTTCAAGCCTCAAAAGAAACTCAGCCAAAAGGATAAATCAAGAAGGGGCATGATCTTCAATTTACCAAGTCCCTTATTCATCCAATGAAGATCAAGAGATCTCATCCATCAAGAATTAAGCACAAGTCTACATTATTTCAAGTCAACCAAGCCCCAAGTTTATCTGGTGCACCAATTAGGGTTTTGGTTGATCAAGATCTCCAAAGTGAATTTTTCATCTAGGCATGAGCCAATACCTCAAGATATGTTTCAAGGACCTCAAATTCCTCATATTAGTCCATTCATATGATTGGATTGACCCAAAGAATTTGATTCATAAGCAATGTAAGGATTCCAATTCATCTGGGCCACAAACTAGAGTTTTGATGAAAAGTCAATTGTACCTTTGACTTTTAAGCAAATGCATGATCTCAAACCTTGGGACATGATTCAATACATTCAAAAAAACCTTTGGAGTCCATCCATGATGTTTAATTTAGCCCATGGATTTGATTTCAATAAGAGATCACAAAATCAAAGTTCATCTGATATAAAAGTCAATTGTGCCCAAAGTCAAGTTTGATTTTCGGAGTTTTTTTATCAATGATCGTGACTTTCTATGTCTAACAAATCTAACTGCAAGTGCACATTCTATTGCGTAGTAATAATAGATATCGATCCCACAGGGACTCGTAATCAATCTAGTATTATCGGGTGTTACGGTGTTTAGCTAGGTTGGTAATGTTTTAAGGGAATAATAATAAAATAAGTGCGTAGATTAAAGGGAACTAAAACTTTTACTTAAGGTATGAATTTATGAATCGATATTCAATAATTTTGTTCTTCGGGGATTCAACAAATTACTGGCGTATTAAGTGTTTTCAAACTTAGTTTAAGAAGAAAATAGTGATCTAAAGACTTTTGTCTCACGATGGTTGTTGACGCTAGTCGCAACTCTAAGGCGGAATGTATGTTGTCGCTATCCCGTTCGGGGTTAAAGTTACTTTTTGAAAATCTCTAAGTTCTAATCCTTTTTAAAGCGCTTTCGCTGTTTTTAAATCGAATGCCTAGTTTTTACTATCCGGTCTTAGCCGCAGCTGTCGCTTGTTGGTTCGTACCTTAGTTAATTTCCCACTGTCGTGGCAAAACTATTTTTAAATAAGTTCTCGCTGTTGCGACGAACGTTTACTTAGAAATTTTAATTAAAAACTAAAACCATAAATGAGTTTTGAAAAGAGAAAGATTACGCTGATTATTACCAAATCCCGTCCGAATTATTATTACATATCGATTACGGTAATTTAGCTAGACATGGAAGAAGAATTGATAATACATAAATAAAAGCAGTAATTAAGAACATACATCATAATGAAAATTGCAATTATGACTAAAAATAAAAACCTGTGAATATCCCAATTGGCTTTTGGGCAGATCCTCCACAATGTCGGCAGGATTCTGGTCTTTGTGCCAATTGATCGTACAAGAAAAAGGAAAGTACAAAAATACCAAAGAATACAGAGAAGGAAAAGAGAAACAGATAAGAATATCAGGAAAGTAAAGTTGTTATGAAGATAAATTGGCAGCACTTCGTTGTCTTGAATGTGGCCCCCCTTTTTCAGGTCCCAACCTCTTCCTTTTATAGAGAGAGAGTATCTAACGGTTATTCCTTCAGGAAGTGGTTTTGAGGCAGAAAAGTAGGAGTTAGTGGACACTCTTTTGGTCTTTGAGGGGGAATTATAGCACGTGACCTCATTCTGCACGTTCTGGGTGCATGACGGTCGTCATGGATGTGTGACGGTCGTCACACGCATGACGAGCATAACGGCTATGTGACGATCGTCACATCAGTAGAACTCGCATCTGTTGTTTTTCTCTTGGTTTTTCATCTGGTTTTCACTTGTTTTTGCTCCTTTTCTTCATATTGCTTTGCTTGGACATGTTCTTTGAATACCTGCATAATACTTAGACAAATAGCATGGAATGCCCCGAATTCGGAGTGAAACCAGTCAAATATTAGTTAAAACACATGTCATTTTATATATACAATTTCGCGTTATCAAAATCCCCTAAACTTGAATCTTTACTTGTCCTCAAGTAAAAGTTGGAAAAAGTAAAAAATGTGGCAAATACGCGGCACGCTTCTCCTTTTCGAAAGGTTCTTCAAATCGTAAGTTAGGAAGGTCGGGCCTTAAATTGAAACAAAACACATACGGTGGTGACACTGAATTGTAAGTCTTCGAAGGCCTCCCTTTTATGCAAGCCAGTTCCAATCATGCTACTGCAGCTTGGCGTCAAGTTCCTTGCAACAAGTTTTACCCGGTTTGTTCTTGCGCAGTCACATTAAGCCCGTTTTCCATATTCTTTCATGGCAAGTCAACCTGTTAGTGGCTATGATCTCTTTTCTATTTCGATTCTTCTTTGCACATAAGCTTATGCTATTGATTTCCAAAGACTTTCTGTACCGTTGGGCTAAATGCTCGGGTGAGGAGCACCTAACTTAGAAGGCACATGTCTCTATACTCAAGCTATATGGCTTTTCTTCTTTTTTCATTTTGAACTAGAGATCATACACTTATTTGCATCGGTTTCATTGCTTAGAAGAATTTAGGATGGTGCTGACTGCTTGTATAAACTACTGGGGGCTATGTTTGAGTAGGAGCTTGAAGCTTCGGTACGTGTAGGTAGTGAAACGGACTCGTATAAACTGGAGGTCTAAGGTGTCAGGACGGTAATGGAATTGTTAGAACTTTCTTCTCGGGATTTCCATACTTGATTAAACTTTGGCGTGTCCTCGTGATGCTTTGAGGCAAGGAGTTTAAAAGTTTCTTTGTATAGTCATATGAAACGCGGGGAGTTCACATAACAGATATATATATATATATATATATATATATATATATATATATATATATATATATATATATATATATATATATATATATATATATATATATATATATATATATATATATATATATATATATATATATATATATATATATATATATATATATATATATATATATATATATATATATATATATATATATATATATATATATATATATATATATATATATATATATATATATATAAGAGCTTATTTGCCGAAAATTAAAGTTACTTTAAATTGAGAATTCGAAAGAAAAAGTACAATGGGAAATGGGAAATAACATGAAAATGGGAAATGAAAAAGGGAAATAACGGTCCGCTCCCACACTATCTCAATCAGTGTCCTCACTGATTTGAAAGAATGCGGAAGGGAGGAATACAAAGGAAATAAAGAAAGCAAATAAAAATGACAAAAAAATGAAAAATCCTACTATTCCCGTCCGCGTCCTCGATCTCTTCCTCGACCTCTGGCTGGGGCATCTCGTGCGGCGAGGTTCAGAGCTCC